ACCCGCTCGCCAAGCGTGGCAACTATGGCAAATACCCCCCTATGAATGACAGTAACAAAAAAACGGCCCCCAGTCCCCGGCGGCCCCGCTATTCCTGGCTACGGTGGCGACCATGGTAACGGCGGGGCAGGGGGTGCTAAGAATCTCCGGTGGAGGTTCGGTTGCCACCTTAGACGACTCGACCTGGCAACGTATAACGCACGCACCCTGAGGACTGACGAGAAGATCGTGGAGCTGGAAGAAGAGATAGACAAGTTGCGCTGGCATATTATAGGATTATCCGAAGTCCGAAGAGAGGGGGAGGACACGGTAATCCTCGAATCCGGCAACTTGCTCTATCACCGGGAGGGCGACCATCTGTCCCAAGGAGGTGTCGGATTTATCGTCCACAAGTCTCTCGTTAACAACGTTGTAAAGATCGGGAGTGTGTCGACGAGGGTTGCGTACCTTATACTCAGAATCACCAAACGGTATTCGCTGAAGGTCATACAGGTTTACGCACCAACCTCGGCACACCCCGATGAGGAGGTGGAGGAAATGTATGAGGATATCTCTAGAGCCATGCATTCCTCCAAAACCCAATATACGGTGTTAATGGGAGACTTCAATGCAAAACTAGGCACAAGAGAGAACGGTGAGCTGAAAGTAGGGAAATTTGGAATAGGGCAACGGAACCCAAGGGGCCAGCAGCTGGCCGACTTCATGGAGAAAGAGGGACTCTTTATGATGAACTCTTTCTTCCAGAAGCGGCCCCACAGGAAGTGGACCTGGTCGAGCTCCGACGGTTCCACAAAAAATGAGATTGACTTCATTATGACGACCAGACGACAACTGTTCAGTGATGTCTCCGTGATCGCGAGGGTGAAAACTGGTAGCGATCACCGAATGGTTAGAGGCACACTGAACCTAAACGTTAAGTTGGAGAGGTCTCGTCTAATGAAGTCAACGCTCCTTCCCCCTCGTGCTCTGTTCCAAAGTCCCGAAACCTTTCATCTCGAGTTACAAAACCGTTTTCGGTGCCTGGAAGACTGCAATGAAGTGGACGATATGAATGACAAGCTCGTGGAAACTGTCCATGGGGTCGGAGCTAAGTTCTGCAAGACCCGCCGCAGAAGAACACAAAACTCTCCGATCACACTCTTAATCTCATGGCTGTTAGACGGGAGATGAAGCTACATTCTTCAACAGACTTGACAGCATACAGGCATCTGAACAGACAGATCTCCAAATGCATGCGGCGGGACTTACGCAACTTCAATACAGCTCGTATTGAAGAAGCGATCGAGCGGAACCAAGGCTCCAAAGTCTTTGCCAGAGATCTGTCTGCCAGAAAGAGCCAACTGTCAAAGCTGAAGACAGAATGTAGCAGTATCGTTTCCGGGACACCTGAGATTTTGAGTGAGATTGAGAGGTTCTATGGGCAGCTGTACACATCATCGTTGGAGCCACACGCAAGTGTGAGTAACGATCCAAGAGCGAGTCTCATCCGACACTATTCCGAAGAATACCCGGATGTCAGTCTGAGCGAGATTAGGATGGCTCTCCAGCACCTTAAAAACGGTAAGGCCCCTGGCGAGGATGGAATCACAGCGGAGCTTCTGAAAGCGGGTGGAACACCGGTACTTGAAGTCCTTCAGAAGCTCTTTAATTCCGTCCTCCATGGTGGCATTACACCGGAGGCGTGGAGCAGAAGTGCGGTGGTCTTGTTCTTCAAGAAAGGTGACAACGCTCTCTTGAAGAACTACAGACCGATTTCCCTTCTGAGCCGCGTCTACGTGCTGTTTTCGAGAGTCATTACGAATCGTCTCGCGCGCAGACTTGACGACTTCCAGCCTCACGAACAAGCCGGTTTCCGAAAGGGCTTTAGCACCATAGACCACATACATACCCTTCGGCAAGTTGTACAGAAGTCCGAAGAGTACAATTTGCCACTATGTCTGGCGTATGTGGACTATGAGAAAGCCTTTGATTCCGTCGAAATTTGGGCGGTGCTGCAGTCCCTTCAGCGGTGCCAAGTTGACTGTCGGTATATCGAAGTGTTGAAGTGCTTTTACAGTAGGGCTACGATGGCTATCCGAGTACAGAACCAGAGTACGAAACCTATCCAATTGCAGAGAGGTGTAAGACAGGGTGACGTCATATCCCCGAAACTCTTCACCGCTGCATTGGAAGACGTTTTCAAGCTTCTGGACTGGAAAGGATACGGTATCAACATCAATGGCGAGTACATCACTTACCTTCGATTTGCCGACGATATAGTCCTTATGGCAGAATCGCTGGAGGACCTAAGCACTATGCTCAATGACCTCAATAGTGTTTCCCAACGGATAGGTCTTAAGATGAACATGGACAAAACAAAGATCATGTTTAATGTCCATGTCACACCTATGCCGGTAGTTGTTGGGAGCACTAAGCTCAAAGTTGTTGACGAGTATGTTTACCTGGGACAAATAGTCCGACTGGGTAAGTCCAACTTCGACCGAGAGGTCAATCGACGGATTCAACTCGGCTGGGCAGCGTTCGGGAAGCTACGACACATCTTCTCGTCAGACATACCTCAAAACCTTAAAACGAAATTGTACAACCAGTGCGTGTTGCCAGTGATGACTTACGGAACTGAGACGTGGTCCTTCACTGCTGGCCGTATGAGGAAGCTCAAGGTCGCTCAGCGAGCTATGGAGAGGGCTATGCTCGGAGTTTCTCTGCGTGATAAACTTAGGAATGAGGATATCCGCAGTAGAACCAGAGTGACCGACATAGCCCAACGGATTAGTAAGCTGAAGTGTCAGTGGGCCGGCCATATAGCTCGAAGAACCGACAACCGATGGGGAAGAAAGGTTCTCGAGTGGCAGCCTCGTACCGGTAGGCGAAGTGTAGGGCGTCCCCCCACAAGATGGAGTGACGACCTGGTAAGACATGCAGGAAGTCGATGGATGCAGGTGGCTCAGGACCGTGTTTTGTGGCATTCTTTGGGGGAGGCCTATGTTCAGCAGTGGACTTGTGAAGGGCTGTAATGATGAATGATGATGATGAAAGTATAATATTAGCCACAGACTACAAAATATCCTTGTACTACTTACTACTTAGGCAAGTTTGATACGTAGCAAAACACATAAGGCCTACGCAGACCGGGACGGCATGGCAAGGGATTTTGGCGTGAGTCAGCGCACACTGGCCGCTTAGATACCGCGGCATTCCAGCACTTTGCCACGGCATGCCGGGGCTCGACAAAGCACGCCTCAGCGACTCCTGCTGCCTGATACACTTTTAGTCTTCAGTTGCGTTTGATCGAGTGTTGGTGAGCCTCAGTTTTAAAATGGTAGATTGGGATTTGGTGTTGATATCGATTATTGCAGATGTAGAAGAAGGTGCACAGGCTAATAATAGGGATAGAAGAAGATTTTCGGTTGATAATTTATGGAAGCTATGGCTAAGAAAGGGAATCAAAGGGTGAATTCAATAATTTATTTAATGACTTAAAATACGACGTGCAAAAATTTTATGACTATCATAGAATGGATTATGAGAAATTTCAAGCACTGTTGAATATATGTCGACCATATATCGAAAAACAGAGGACCAATTTTCGCAACCCCATTGAAGCCGATCAAAGATTATCCTTGTGTTTGAGGTGGGTAGTTAAATGATTGTATAAGTTTTATTTTTCTTCTTTTATTAAATTAAAAAAACAATATTTTTTGCCAAGTACAATCATGTATTTTAGACACATAATAACGATTTTCAAGTTTTTGCACTGATAAATCTTCTTACTGATAATCCCTGGATCTTTATTTCTTTTTACTTAATTTAGAGTACCTACTAGTTCAGATTAGTTTCGTATTCAGAAACTGCAGTTTTGTAGCCAGACCCTGAAGCAGCTTCATAGCCAAGGCCCGAGGCGGTTTCATAAACAGACCCTGAAGCAGCTTCATAGCCAGGGCCAGAGGCGGTACCATAACCAGACCGTGAAACAGCTTCATGACCAGAGCCTGGGGCGATTCCAAAGCCAGGCCCCGAAGCTGCTTCATAGCCAGATCTTGAGGTGGTTTGATAGCCAGACCCTGATACAGCTTCATAGCTCAAGCCTGCCGCGGTTCCACAGCCAGATCTTGAAGTAGAAGCGGTATGGCATGGTCGTTGAAGTTGCAAATAGAGACGTTAGAGACATCTTCAGATGTTGGAGCTGGAGTTCCCTCTATGTAGTTTAATTCGGCGTCAGTTACCATATTAAATATTTTGTCTCTTTATTTGGACCTGCACTCTTTCTGGTAGTTTTTTTTTTATTGTGGCAACCATTGTTTGAAAGAACGAATCAATGGGGTCCACCTCCTTTTTCGATTCAATGTATTTATTTAGTATTTCAGCAGTTGTTGTGGGTTCTGGTCTTATTAAAGAATGGTGTGAATCATTGGTCATTCGCGAAACTGAACGTTCATCATTATCATCGACAGCGGATTCTGCGAAAGAAGTCTGCGTATCCTCTGAAGAGGAGTCCAAATTCGAGGTTTGTTTTCTGTGCTGAATGAATTTTTTCAAAAACTCCAGCTCTTTTTCAAACTTGATAGGGCGTCGCTTTGTGTACGGGTCACCACTCTTTGTTTTTCTGTTATTCAGAGCTTTCCTAAAATTGTTACGTATATTACCCTATATTTTCTGGCATTCTTCACATAAAACAAAACATAAGCAGGTAAAATGCTACAGAAACAGAATAAGTAGGTAATGGGAAAAGGCCTTAGATAGTGACTAGTTTAGCACCAGCTATGTTTATGGGATTATATTGAGCTAATCTTTTTCTAAGTAAAAATTACCACTGGCATTACGGTGAAGGAAAATATCGTGAGGAATTCATAATTTTATATAAATACATATTTCGTATTATTTAATTGACTTTGTTTAACTGTGCCCTGTCTTTCACTCTGCTTCACTTACCCCTACTTATATTATCATTCAGATTTTTGATCACGGGAAGTAGCTTCAAGTCTCTAGGTTACAGCTATCGTATGGGGTTTAGTACATTGCGCTCTATACTACTAGAAACTTGCCGAGTCATTTGGAACGTCCTAAGCCCTAGTGTTATGCCAAAACCAACAAGGGAAAAATGGACGCGAATCGCAATGGAATTTGATGAAAAATGGAATTTCCCGAACTGCATCGCTGCAATAGATGGTAAATATTTCAAGATCAAGGCACCTCGCAATAGTGGAAGTCTCTACATAAACTATAAAAAGTTTTTTAGTATCGTACTACTAGCGGTTGTGGATGCAAATTATAAATTTGTGATTGCAGATGTAGGATCATATGGACGAAATAGTGATGGAGGTATAATGCAAAACTCAATATTTGGAAAAAAAATTACTTTTAATGCCCTCGGTATTCCCCAAAAAAAACGTTAACGAGGACAGATCTTGAGTTGCCCTATGTTTTTGTAGCAGACGAGGCTTTTCCGTTAACCACAAACATTATGACACCATTTAGTGGCGATCGATTGACAGATGAAGCAATGAAAACATACAATTATCGTGTGAGTAGAGCCTGGCGTATCGTCGAAAATGCATTTGGTATACTTCAAGAACGTTTCGAATTATGTCAAAAAGGAATTCAGGTTCAACCAAAATATATTGATAATATCATTTTAGCATGTACTTGCTTACATAATTTCATCATAGGTGGTACAAGCACAGAAAGCCAAAATATAGCAAGTGTAAGCATTAATTTAGAAAACGATAATAATATGAACAATACATTAGATGGTATGACGGTACGGGAGATGTATAAAGATTACTTTAAGTCTGATGAGGGCTCGATTCCATGGCAAAACGATATTGTAAACAGACATTAATACCGTGTTAAGTCTTAAAATATAATTATATTGCAAAAATATTTACCTGTTTTATTCATTTCTATTCCAATCCTTTTCCACGCATTGTTCTTCATCTGAGTGTTCATATAATGTTTTGATGACATATTATATAAATAATCATAGGCTTGAAATAAAGTTATTAATTTTTCCTCCATTTTGGAATAAAAAACGTAAAAAAACTGGTCTCCGAAAATATCAAGTAGGTACGCAGTCGTCAAAGACGCGGACGCAAACGTATGGTCAATGGTGTGCATTCCCCGCTTCTCTACCCCCGCCGCCGCAACCCGCAGTATATCACTACGAGCGCCAGAGTCCGTGGCATGCCGTTGCCTACCGCAGTATGCCATGGCATCCCGCCACGGGAGCCTGTGGCGCGTCTTTTAATGCCGTGCGATAAAATCCTTTTCAATGCCATGGCATAATTTTAAAGCATAGCAATTTATGTCCTATTTCTGTAACAGTACGGTTGAATGTCCATTAGTAAAAATTAAAATCCTTTGCCATGCCGTCCCGGTCTGCGTAGGCTCATAATCGTACACAGAGAACCATTACATTTCTAGGAAATTTAAATATCTGCTACAAGTAGGCATATTAATATTGTGCAAAATATCTATTATTAAAATATATATTCTTCTCTTTCCATATTATTCTCTTTCCTATAGTGTATTATCATTTTTAATGGTTTAATATTTTCTTTGGATTTTTCTTTTCTTTTTGTTATGGCATCTTCAATATACAAAGGGTTTCTTATAGCCCTAAAATTAGACATTTTTAACACATTCCTCATCTTATTATTCTATACAATAATCCTGTAACATTTATTCCATACATTTAAATGTGTTATTGAAACATTCATAAAATAATTATTTCTTTTATTTCAATACTTTTTTTAAATTTTAGTACGTTATTGAGACGCAGTTCTAATGCCAAACAAAATGAACAACCAATTTCTACATGACCCTCAGCATCACGCTAGGAGGTTAGTGCTATCTCTATCTAATATTACAGCTATCTCTGTTCATTCAGCCGTAATGTAACTTTTATCTTATCATAAGAACATAACATGTATTCACTCAAACAAATGTCTTATACGATGCAATTATTTTATCCCTATTACATAGCATTCACAAAAATAGACAAACAAATTTTTGTGATGTTAGCTCTCAGACGGGGAATCGAACCCCGGTCTCCCGCGTGACAAGTGGCGATTCTTATCATTATATTGAATCTATTTACATTTAACATAGATTATTCTTTAATATGAAATATATTTACTTTTAATATAAATTGTTATTAATGCGAATATGAGTTATTTTAAAAGTGGAAAAATACTCTAATAAAAATTAAAGCGCGTCGTCAACAATCACAAACTGGTGTTACCATTCAAAATAAGGTAAATATTTGTTTGCCAAAAGGAAGCTAATTTTGGTATTAAGTTTTTATCATAATCACTATCATATGTCACTAAAATAATGTCAACATTTTTCGTTTCTTCAAAGTTGCTATCAGCAACACAAAAATACCACTTTTTTACACCCGGTGAATGCAGTTGCACCTGCGCCCTACATTTTTCTGTGACAACACAGGTTTTCAAATAACTGCCCTTTACTTTTGCCTTGTTAGGGCATTTTATTTCAATAACTGCACCTTACATTAAAACAGGTGATGCCGCAATCATGGGATACTCTTTGCACACATAAAGCCCACATGAGGTGATATTTCTTTTCAATTTATTACTGACTGTCTTTCGGACAGATATTTCTAAATTTCTACCTCTTCTAGAAGCCACCAACGAACCATCTGTTGTATGGCCGACCTCATTTTCGAAGAATTTCGGCCCGATGACGCCGCCAGCCTATAAACTGCACCAAACAGTCACTCTTTGTGAATGCATCAGATTTTCAACAAGCACTTGTGGATTCTCATTTGCCCAAATGCGGTAATTCTGCTTGTTATCGATTCCATTGAGATGAAAGTGTTTCTTGTCTCTGAAGATGATTTTCTTTGTAAAGTCACCATTTACTTCTGTCCGTTCAAAGAAATTCGGCATATTGACGACGCTTGAAATGGTCAGTAGGCTTCAGCTCTTGAGTCAATTGAAGCTTGCAAGCGCCTAAATTCAAATCTTTATTCAAAATTCGCAACAGTGATATTCGTGAGATATTCAATTGTTGAGCACGACGACTAGTCGAGGTTGACGGCTCTTCTGCCACACCATCGCAAACAACAGCAATGTTATTCGCAGAACGAACTGAATGAGCATGCACAAGTATTTTCACATTTCCTACAGACGCGGTTTGCTGACCAAAAAAATCACGAAGTGCACGAAATGCATTTTGATTTGAACGTCCATTTTCGTAAAAAGCTTCAACAATCCTAACGCGCTTCTCAATTGTGTACCTCTCCATTGTTGAATTCGTCAAACACTGAAAGAAAGAAATGTCAAATTAAGTTCGGTAAAAAACTTAAGGTGTGACTCACATTATATCTACTAGTTTTTAAGGCATTTACTTTTTAAAAACGAAATAAAATTTATTTATTATTTATTATTATTATTATTACATTTAACATTGTTGGACATTATGGTAGCACCAGGCTATACATTAACATTGGCAAAAATACTAGTCATACAAGACTACTAAAGAAAATAAAATAATTATAAAGTATAAACTCAGTAAAGTCCAGTCGCGGAGCACGAAGAATTTCGTACAATGACCTCTTTACCTACTGACAGTGGTCACAATCATTTTTATATTTAGTGCGGTTTACATGAAATATTTGAAGGAGAAAGAAAATTTACCAACTTATGAAATATAGTTATTATTATTATATAAATTATTTATTTAGATTTTATATTACAAGTAATAAAAATCTAGACAAGTATCTACTAATTCGGCAGAAAAAAAATCAAAAATCAGAATCCGATTCCTCTGTATCGGAGTAACTGCTTTCCGAAGATGTCTCGCCTGTCACATTTATCACAAAAGAATCAACAGTTTTGTTACATTATCATCTAGTCTAGCTAATTTTGATTCCTCTTTTTTTACGTGACTGATGCAATTTTGCCATTTTTCTGCTGAAATGTTGCCTAAAGCCTCCTGGAGCAGCTTTTTAACATCTGCCATCTTAAATGTTGTATTTTTTCGGGCCACATACCCCTTGATGTCTGCCGACACTAGTTCGATGGGATTCAATTCGCAATGGTACGGAGGTAATCTCAATACCTCCACACCAACTGCTTTTGCCAGCTCATCGACCACCTACGATTGGTACTGAATCTTGACATCTTTCACCTTTTTCAAGAGCTGGACTTTTGTTTCCTTTGCCTCAAAAGAAATTTGCTTTGATGAAAGCCATTCTTGAATATCTTTTTTTTCCAACTAGTAACTGGGAGTTTTTCCTGGCATCTTGAGTGGTAGCTGGCATTATCCATGACAACCACTGCGTTTGGCTCAAGTCTCGGTAGCATTGCTTGAAACCAATGTTCGAACTTGGCTGCATTCATCGATACGTGATAATCGCCTGTACCTTTGCATTCAAACACCAATTCCGATTCTGGCACGAATCCTTGTTCACCTCCTATATGTAAAATAATTAGCCGGTTGCCTTTGGAAGTAGGATTCTTGGCACCCGTCGACAAACCCTCCAAAAATGCTTGTTTTCGTGACTGCACTGTAGTGTCTTCCCACACCTTGCCAACAGTGTGACTTGAAAAGTAAATGAATAAACTAATCAAAGGTTTAAACAGTTAATAGCCGTTTAGGCGTTTAAAGGTGACAGACAGTGTTACTTTCACATTCATAATTTTAGTATAGATTTAAGTCAGTTAGAAAATAATAAAAATAAGTCTTACCCGCATTCACCCAAGTTTCATCCAAGTAATATATTTGTCGTTGTTGCTGTCGGTAAGTTTTCATATTTTTCAAATATTTGATACGCCACAATGCTATGTCATCTCTGTCTATTAACCCGTTATTTCTCCTTCGTTTGTCATACTTAAACTTCAAATGTTTCATTAATTTATTCAACGATGTGAAATCCATGTTTGGTAAGGATTCGTCTTTGTTTATGATATGTAGCACCTTTTTTGCTGTAAGTAACTCTCCTTTTAAATAAAAGCTGTGCACTATTGGTCTAATGCACGATTTATCGAACCTATCAATCTTTTCAATTAATGAGAGTCGTTTTTTCGGTGAAGCAGTTGGCTTGACGGTATCTGTGTCGGTATATTCTTTTAAGATACGATATACGGCCGATTTCGAAATGCCCAAGATATCGGCTGTTTTGTCCTTCATATCTTTTTTTGAAGGATATTTATCAGCAGGGCAGGATTCTTTCACGTATTTAAACACGTTAATAATCATTACCTTCTCAGATATACTAAAGTGTGACATTTTTCTTTTCTTCCGGGGAGAAACAAACTCCTTGAATGGACGCCAGGTAGACGGCGCTGTTTCCATTTTAAAAGAGTGAATAAAACTTAACAAATTAACAAAACCACTTAACAATTAAAACAAGATAACAAAAACTAACAAACAACAACACACTAAGAATAGGTAAATATCTGTGTCCGAAAACTGAGCGACCACTAACGCATCCCAAGATGGAATGTCATTCGTTATTTAAACATTATTAATTACGTCAAGGTCAAGCAAATCAAGGACTTTTTGTCGTGACACAAGGCCAACCAAAACCACATTATGCAAACAAGAACAAACCTTACAGTCTCTAGTAAAAGGTTTACAATTCCTGAGGACGGCGGCCATTGCATCTGTGCGAGCGAGACTCATTGTATTTACGCAGGAGTGACAGAGACAGGTAGTGACAGTTCAATGTACGAAATTCTTCGTGTTTCGCGATTGGACTTTAGTAATATGTATTGTCTGAAGCCTTTGTCTGCTTATGGCTATTTGTAACAACAACAATCAACTATCAAATCAATAGCATGAATGCTACTTAATATTTTGTCAATGATTTATGTAAACGTTGTGATTGTATTCTCTTTGGATCAATGCCTATGACAGTGCATAGTACCTCCCCCCCCCCCCCCGCACATATATATAAACAAGACCGTATAAAATTTACTTGACTAGTATAATAACCATATAATGATCTTTCTCAAAGATCTTTGTAAAGTTTTAGATATAGACCAATTAACAAATTTATGGCGTGATCGTCTTAGTTACGACCCTTATTTACGTTGCGTTACTTAGTTCTTTTAGTCCGGGAGCCAGCGACCTTTTTAAAAGTGGTCATTTCACCAAGGCTGAAAATTTTTTCCAAGCCTTATTTGGTACACAGCCTCCCACACATGTAAAATAATAATTAAAAAAAACTAATACCGCAAAGGCTGAAACTTTGTTAACATTTACATTATGTTATAAAAAAAAAACGTATCCAGCCGAATGTAGAGTGGGGGATTATGCCCCAGCTTTTCACGTAAAGAAGTGAAAAATGCGCACTGAGTAAACTGATACCGCAAAGCTGAAATTTGGTAAATTTATAGTTAAGTTAATAACTTAAACGAAAAAAACATCCAGCTTCATATTTAGTGGCGGAAAAGTGTCCAGCCGATGCAGTCAAAGACGCTGCGCATCGGCATGCGCTCGGGCGCATTCTATCTGTGAATGCATCAGCAGGACACTTTTCCCCCACTAAATAGAAAGCTGGATATTTTTTTCTATTAACTCATTTACTTAATTATTAAATATTACCGAATTTCAGCTCTTGTGGTATAAGATATCTATACTTTTCTCATTAAACACAGCGCGCCCATGTAGTTATTATACTATCTCACAAGTTTTTAATTTAAAGGCTATTAGTAAATATTTACACATTTGAATATACATAATAAACCGTATAATACATAACATAAATCAAAAATGAAAATAAAGAAACATATTACGGTATTACGCACAAAATAACAGAATAATATACGAATATATTAGAATTCGCCATCTTCGGACTCATTTCCATCGAACTCGTTGTCGCTTTCATTATCGATGCAATTCATGTCGACCCTCGAAATATCTTCGTCATCATCTGCAAACATTTATAATAATAATACATTTAAAGGCATAAATAATAATTGTATAAAAATGTGAGTAATATATCAATATTATTCTAACCTGCAATACTTTGTTCATCATCAATGGTTATTTATATCTCCCAAAGAAGAAGGTAGCTGCTCAAACTCGAACCATTTGAAGTGGAAAATCGTGTCCTTCGCTTCCCAGCTAAAATCGGTTGGATACAGTTCCGTTGGAATCCAAATGTTTGCAATATAAATTGTCCGCAGCAAATGTTGGTGCAACTCAATTTTGCAGGGAGGTAGAGCTGATCCGTCGATGTTATTCTTCGGTAAACGGAATATGTCGTCGTTTCGCAAAATATTGTATGTCTTCAAAAATGTTGCTACGCGTGCTTCATTAACTTTATTTATTTTTTTGTATCCATACATACAACATACGTATTCTTCTAGCATATCAAATGTACTCTGCAACTCGTGGTCAGGTGGATTGCTCAGTTTGATAAAAGCGTCCATATATATTTCCGAATTATGTAAAAATTGATAGGGACGGCTTTTCCTTTATTGAAAAACGACGGATTATAGTCGCAACCCGTTAGGGCATGAAAAGCCGGAAGTGCTGCGCTTAATTTAGGGCCTAACGTTTCATATAATTTGCTAATGTTAATAAAATGCTGATTATTGCCGACTCCGGTTTCCATTTAATCTTTTACATTAGCATAACTTAATGCACTCATCTTGGACAGCATTGTAACGGCCACGTCTGTATCGGAGCATCTTATTTATTTATTTTTTATAAAACGTTACCTCCACACTAGGATTTTCTCCTGTATCGTAGAGGCAGTTGACAAACATAAATTGCACAAGGACAAACATCCAGACCCGGAACAATTATTTGTAGGCCATACAAATACTTGTTCCGTGCGGGATTTGAACCCGCGGCTCCCAGCGTTGCACCTCATTGCTAAGCCACTGCGCCACGGAGCCGTCTTATTGTGACATGTGCGTCGTAATCTATTTTACAGGCGTGGAATACGATTTTTGTATTCGAGCATTTTTTTTTAAAAAACCGGCCAATTGCGAGTCGGACTCGCGCACTGAGGGTTCCGAACAAATCCGTAGGTAAGTAATAACTTTAAAATTATTAAAAATATTTTTATTATATGATGTAACTAAAAATTTATGCTTTCGCAATTTTTCCTTTATCTGTGCTACAATATGTTGCTTCGTACCAAATTTTAAGATTCTGAGTTCACGGGAAGTACCCTGTAGGTTTTGATTGCCTTGCGAATGTCGAAAATTTTGGGCATAAACGGCTGTATCTTTTGATTGCGTTGGCTTAGAAGTTTGATTTTTTCACAACTCCAAGGGACAGTAGACTTGAGTATTTGATATGAATTTCAGCTTGATACCTCCACGTGTTCCTGAGAAAAAGGGTCTTGACAGACAGACAGACGGACAACAAAGTGATCCTGTAAGGGTTCCGTTTTTTCCTTTTCAGGTACGGAACCCTAAAAATGGCCGTTACTTAGCATTTTCCGCCTTATTCCAAAACACGGACTTAATATAGTACTGGAGTTAGTAATATATTTAAACCATAAACTAAGAAAAACGTTATTACAGAACGAAGATTATCTCTGGTTCAAGGATTATCTATGGTATTAAAGTTAAACTTCCGAGACCTCTAGTTTAGCTATGGTACTAACCTTTGTATATAGTTTGTGGTACTCTATACTAACCTCAATTTCGGTACTTCTTAATTTGAGGTGAGCGTTGTTTTCATTTGGTGTTATTAAAATCGTTAAAAATTGATATTAACATGATTGACTTGATGGATTAAGAAGATTTGGACATGCTAGAGACCACTCGGCGACCTGATAGACATCGAAATCGTGTGAATCCGTTTGAATTGAGTGACGAAGATTTTAGATATAAGTATAGGTTCTCAAAACGTTTCGGAGAAAAAATAGTGGTGCGACTTTCCATTGACGTCAGTGGAGTTTGGTGTTGATACGTATTTTTACAGAAAGATTACACTATTATAAGCACACACACAAAGTCTCAATATACGGAAACGCATAATTTTTGAGAAAAGAATAATTGAAAATCAATTATTCTTGCAATGTTTATGTCTAATCTGCTAATAAACTGGCGCCATTTTGTAATGTCATTGTCGACGTCAATAGGGATGTCAATTCTTTCCGAAAAAGATCGATTTTTGAAATAGATTCGAATTGTAAGCTGATGTATCGATTCCCGAAAAATCGATTTCTAAAATATCGATATTTTATTCATGTTTGCATTTATAATGTAAATATAAATCCATTTTATGAGAAAAAAATCCCCTTCATCATAAAAAAATAAGGGGACTGATTCATAAGGATTTCTGTATCTATTTTGAGACTGCTACGTCTCCGGCGCTGCGGGAAGAGCAACCTCTACGCCTTAGCGTAACAAATCGCAGGCATCCCTCCTCGCCTCCGCAGCTTCGGCTCGTCCGATGCCTACGATTTGTTACAGCAGGCGGAGGCTGCTCCCCCTACGCGCCTCCGGCTCTATAAAACCACTCTAGGGGTAGGACAGACTCGTACCAGGTAGAGTCGGGGTCAATCAAATCGGTTCTTTGACATAAGTTGAACCTAACCTATTTTATTTGTTATCTGCCCTAATAGGTACTGTTAAAATAAAACAAATTTCAATAAGAGATCATTTATCATGGTATCTTCCTTGTTTTTCATAAAATGGGTTTATATTTACATTATAAATAGAAACATTAAAAAATATAGATATTTTAGAAATCGATTTTTTGTGAACCGATACATCAGCTTACGATTTGAATCGATTTAAAAATCGATCTTTTTTGGAAAGAATCGACATCCCTATTGACGTCGACAATGACATTACAAAATGGCGCCAGTTTATTAGCAGATTAGACATATACATTGCAAGAATAATTGATTTACAATTATTCTTTTCTCAAAAATTACGCGTTTCCGTATATTGAGACTTTGTCTGTGTGCTTATAATAGTGTAATCTTTCTGTAAAAATACGTATCAACACTAAACTCCACTGACGTCAATGGAAAGCTAAGCCAAAATAGTATCTGTTTTAAGTGAGAATTTAGTTCACGACCCTCGAGGATGCCCATTGGTTCCTGAAATTCAAGTTGTTTGTGCATTACGCAACTGGGCCCGCCATGAAATAAGTGCTGTTTATAATTTTGGTGGGGTCAATGTACCTCATATTAAGCTAGATAAAAAACCAAAAAATACACATTATTATTTTATTCGTAGATTCAAGACGATACAGCTAACTTACATGGTGTGTCTCAACCAGTAGTCAGTAGGACATGTAAAAAAGTAGCGGAAACTTTGTCACGGAAGTCCCGAGAATTTATTAAAATGCCTACTACTTAAAATGAACAGCAGGAA